GCTATTATAAAGCTTGTGGCGATTGCTTCTCTTGCTTTTGCCATTTGTATGCCTGAACCAAAAGGATGACATTGGACAAGAAATTGTTGGCAATCATGAGGTAATTAGGAGCTAACTGATGTATAAACTTATATAAAGATTCGATTGATAGGAGAATCCATTGCAAAGTGGATTAATCTATTTAGAAGGAGATCAAACATAGAAGTAGCTTGTTCTGGGTGAACATGTGGCCTAGGAGCAGAAGAATTCCTCATGCTGATTTCTTGTTGCTTGCTACATTTAATTGGCGTTTTATTTGCCTTAAAGTTTGAAATTGTCACGCTGGTATCTCTTATGAGTAACCATTTCATTACAAAATTAGTAAATAAGTCATTGTAGACTTGCAATTCTCTCGCACAAAGAGAATGAAAGAGAACTATAAATATTTTCGTGCATGCTGTTCAACTATAAAAGTAATTAGACAGATTGAGTTGAGATCAAGATGGAGGGTCTATGATCAATGAATGACTAAAAAAAATTTATACCCATATAATATCAAATGTATAAAATATTTCAAAGCTTTAGATATGATGCCTGCATGCACATCTTTCAGATAATTTCAAATTTGCCACATTTGACATGGAATTATTGAGTACCCTTAACAATTTTTCGATAACAAATATATTGAAGTATCTCAAATCATTAAATATCGATCTATAAATAAAGCTATACATAGATGCATCTTGAGATAAAATTGTGTATCAATTTCATGGGTAACATCAAGTTTTATCAAATCAGTACTTAAGCCAAGCTCATTCAGTCTTTTATTAAAGAATTCTAATCATCACCACGATCTTCAAGGGCTCTCTCAGAAACCAATAAAGATTTGATTAGTCTAACCATACAAGCAAATGTCTAAGTTCATCATATCTTTTACCTACTTAAGGAAACATGTGAACAAGGCAGATCATATATTTAATTTCCATACACTAACATGATGAAACCACGTGATTACAAAAGTCAGTCAAAATGGTATATTTTGATTCGAAATGGGGTGATCACAGAATTGGGCAAGCAAATAATGTGACAACAAAGATATCTATAAATATAGGACTTGTTGCACTTTCTGCTATAACATGGTGCTGCTGGAGGCATGCTTTCTGTTCGTATTGCATCCTCAGGTCCTAATCTATAAAGAGTAAGACCTCAAGATGTTTTTCATGAACAAATCTCTCCTGGCATGCATTCCTGTGATAAAGCTATTCCAAAGCCTATTTGTCATACTTCTTTTGCCTTTTTCCTTGAAAATACAACAATTGAACCAACAAGGATGATGTCGATAGAGAACTTGTTGACTTTCATAACATAAATAGGGGATAATTGATTTACAAACTTGTATAAACATTCGATTGATTGGAGACTCCATTGCAAAGTGGATTAACCTCGTCGAACGGGGATCAAACAAATTATCCCTTTTGGATGAAATCCGAGCCTTCCTTGGAGCAGAAGAATTTCTCGTGCTGAATTCTTTCTTTCCAATTTCAGCTTTCTGCATTGTCTTTGTGATTTATTTGCCTTAGAAATTAACTAAAATAGTATATTAATGTTGGTTTATCTTATGAGTAACCTTTTTACTATATTAGTAAACAAGTCACTAACATGAAGGACCACGATTCATGCGCAGATGAAGAGAATGTAAGAGAACTATAAAAATTGCCTACACGCTATTCAATTATAAAAATATGGTACAACTATAAAAAAAATAAAATAGATTCAGTTAAGATCAAGACAGAGGGTCTATGGTCAATAAATAACTCTAAAACAAAGACTATATACCCATAATATTAAATGTACAAAATATTTCAAAACTTTAGATATGTTGTATACACAACTTTCAGATAATTACGAATTTGCCACATTTGACATGGAATCAAGAAGCATTCTAAACCAATTCTCAGAGAACAAGTATATTGAACCATCTCAAATCATTAAACAAATCTCCATAAATAGATGATGCAGTTGCATATCCCGAGGGCGATAGAGTACCTACTAAGATGTACATTCATGAGGATGCGCCTCTACCTAGTTCAGACAATGAGTCGCAACCTTCCAAGAAATCTAGGTTTCGTGGAGGATGGATTGATGATGATGATGTTATGACGGATTAGTGCCAGATGATATTAAGATGGATTAGTGCTAGTAATTTTTAGTAGGTTTCATTAGGCGTAGATCATGACATGTTGAGTAAGATTTCCATTTTTCTTTTCAATTGATTAGTAATAGACGTTCTTTCATTGATTTTATTTCCTATAAAAAACTTAGTTAATAATAAAATGGGTTATTTCTGAATTATAGTTTCTCATTTTACTGTGCAATGTGTGATTTTGTGATTTTCCCAAGGATTACAAACTATTCCATTTTGTATGAAGGAAATGACACCAATATCACACACGAGAGCAATTAGAGAATTGCAACAAGCAGTAGAAGAAATGAGATTGGTCTTAATGGCACAAGCTGCTCCAGCAACACCAATGGCTCCGACCGGACAAGATGCATCAGTAATACCACCCGTCGCAACACAAACTATCCCTATACCACTCCCTGCTCCAGCACCAACCACTATACTAATTGTACCAATCATTATGCAGTTTCGTCGATATGCCTTCCTAGCTTTGATGGCAGTGATGACCCTTTGGCAGTAGAGGAATGGCTTCTTACAATTGAGAAGATCTTTTGACACATATCTTGTCCAAAAAAATCAGAAAGTGTTGTGTACAGAATTCATGCTGCTTGGAGGAGCCGACCATTGTTGGGAATCCGCATCACGTACATGGATAGAGGAAGAGCAACGTAATATGACATGGACCCAATTTAAGATGGAGTTGAATGAGAAATATTTCCTGCAAGCCCTTCACGACCACAAGGAGACAGAGTTTTTACAACTAACACAGGGAGATAAGGACATCACAGAGTATAAGAGAAAGTTTGAGGAATTATCCCGTTATGCCCCACATCTTGTAAGTACAGAGCTTATGAAAGCAAAACTCTTTGAGAAGGGATTGTGCCCTGAGATTAGGCAGATATTGAGTTTGCATGAACTCACAACTTATCGTGAAGTTGTAAAGAAGGCCCAAACTATATCAATCTCAAGTTTTAAACTTCGAAGCCAGGGATTATAGAATGATACTGGAAAAAGGAAATGGCACGATCAGAGTAAGGATAAGAGTTTCGGACAATTCAAGAAATAGAATAATGGGCCTATAAGCCGACAATTAGATAATCCCGTTCCTCGGTGCCCTAAGTGCCAAAAATCCCATAGCGGTGAATGTTTATGCGGCAAGAATGTCTGTTACAAATGTGGCCAGACAGGATATTATGCTTCAAGATGTCGGGCAATGCTGGTTAAGGTTGCTGAACAGGTGAAGAAAGGAAATGCAAGAATTTTTGCCATGACACATGATGAGTTAGCCCAAGATCCAAACATAATTACAGGTATTTTATCTGTTTACGGCATTCTTGTTTATGTTCTTATTGATTCCGACAACACTTTTTTTTTATCTCTGCAACATGCCTAGCTAATATCAATGTTTTATGTGAGAAAACTAGTAGTACACTAGAGGTTAGTATGCCATCAAGAGGAGTCATTGATACCAATAAGATTGCTAAGGCAGTACAAATAGATTTTGATGGGTTAATCCTTGAGGCAGATTTACATGTTATAGAACTAAAAGATTGTGATATTATCTTCGGTATGGATTGGTTAGGTAGCAATAGAGCTACAATTGTATATTTTGAGAAAGAGGTGATCTTGAAAAGACCTGAAGAGGAAGAGTTTAGATTTTATGGGTCAAAAATTAAGGCACTCCCACGTCTTATCTCAGCTATGCAAGTGGAAAAGCTATTGAGGAAGAAAACCTATCAACGATAACTTGTTAGTCTTACTAGCTCACCATCAGAAGAGTTAACATTGGATAAAGTGCCTGTTGTGCAAGAATACGCTGACGTATTTCCTAATTACCTACCAGGTGCCCCAATTGATAGACAAGTGGAATTTACAATAGACTTGATACTCGGAGCTGCACTAGTGTCTAAGGCTCCATACCGTATAGTGCCAAAAGAATTACATGAGTTAAAAATGCAGTTGGAGGAACTTCTAAATAAAGGTTTTATCAGACCAAGCATGTCTCTATGGGGAGCTCCAGTACTTTTTGTGAAAAAGAAAGATGGAACCATGATAATGTGTATTGACTATCGAGAGTTGAATAAGCTGACTGTCAAGAATATATATCCTCTCCCAAGAATTGAAGATTTATTTAATCAATTGAATGGTGCAACCATATTATCAAAGATTGATTTGAGGTCAGGCTATCATCAACTAAATATCAAGCCGAGTAACATACCTAAAATAGCATTTAGAACTCGTTATGGACATTACGAGTTTACAGTTATGCCATTTGGACTTACTAATGTCCCTACAGTATTTATGGATCTAATGAATAGAGTATTTCATTAGTACCTAGTCAAATTTGTTATTGTGTTTATTGATGATATACTAGTGTATTCAAGAGATTCTCAGCAGCATGAAAGCCATTTGAGGACAATTTTGGGAACTTCACGTAAGGAAAAATTGAATGCTAAATTCAAGAAGTGTGAATTTTGGCTAGATCAAATAGGATTTTTAGGACACATTGTGACAGCAAATGGTATCGAAGTAGACCCAAGTAAGGTTGAAGCTATTACAAACTGGCAAAGACCTATGAATGTTGGAGACGTAAAGAGCTTCCTAGGTTTGGCTGGATACGATCGATGATTTATAGAAGGCTTTTCTAAGATAGCGGGTCCCTTGACACAACTAACTCGAAAGGGTGTGAAGTTTGTATGGACTGAAATGCGTGAACAAAGCTTCCAATAATTAAAAATAGATTAGTATCCACTCCAGTGTTAGCAATTTCGGAGGCATCGGAGGGATTTGTTATCTATAGTGATGCTTCCAAGCTAGGTCTGAGTTGTGTTTTGAAGTAATGTGGAAGGGTGATAGCCTATGCATCAAGACAATTAAAGCAGTACGAGAAAAATTATCCGACGCACGATTTAGAACTTGCAGCGGTAGTTCACGCTCTCAAGATTTGGCATCATTACTTATATGGAAGCAAGTGTGAAATTTACAGTGACCATAAGATCCTCAAGTACTTCTTTACCCAGAAGGAATTAAACATGAGATAAAGACGATGGTTAGAGTTAGTAAAAGACTATGATTGTACCATCCATGACCATCTTGGTAAAGCTAATGTAGTAGCAGTTGCTTTGAGTAGGAAGAACTAGGGTCACTTATCAGCACTGGGAACATAACAAAATCAGTTAATCAAGGACTTTGAAAATTTGAGGAGAGAAGTGCTAACACTACCAGCTTGAGCATCATGTAAGTTGACAAGTTTGGTTCTAAAATCAACCCTCAGGGACAAGATTATAGCAGGTCAAAGGGATGACTCTTTCTTGGAAAAGATAAAGGTAGAAGTTGGAACCGAGAAAAGGAAGGGATTTGAGATAAGCAGTGATAAAACACTTATGTTTAAAGGCAGACTGTGTGTACCTAAGAATGAAGAAATAAGGAAGGAGACTATGACTGAGGCTCATTCTGCTTCTTATGCTGCACACCTGGGCTCTACAAAGATGTACAAAGACTTACGTAATACCTTTTGGTGGAGGAATAGCTTTATTTGTGTCGAAGTGTATTGTCAACAAGTGAAAGCGAAGCATCAAAAACCATCAGGGCTATTAAATCCATTGGACATACTAGAATAGAAGTGGGAGGAAATCTCGACAGATTTTGTAGTGAGCCTTCCTAGGTCAGCAAAAGGTCACGATGCAATTTGGGTTATAGTAGACCGACTTACAAAATCTGCCCATTTTCTACTGGTCCGTATGACTTTCAGTTTGGAACAATTTGCATAATTGGATGTCAGAGAAATCGTTTGACTTCATGGGATACCAACATCCATTGTGTCAGACAAGGACCCCAGATTCACTTCAAAATTTTGGAGGAGTCTTCAGATAGCTATGTGAACTAAGTTATCATTCAGTACTACATATCATCCTTAGATCGATGGACAGTCAGAACGAACTATACAAGTATTAGAAGATATGTTGAGGGCATGTATACTAGATTTGGGCGGTAAATGGGAGAACCACTTACCACTGGTGGAATTTGCATACAATAATAGTTTTCAAGCTACTATTGGCATGGCTCCATACGAGGCATTGTATGGCCGAAGATGTTGTTCACCAATATGTTGGGATGAGGTTGGCGAGAAGAGAATTTTGGGTCTAAAACTTATTGAGAAGATAGTGGAAGCTATAGATAAGATCAGGATGAGGATTAAGATAGCTGAAGATCGCCAAAAGAGTTATACGGATAAGAGAAGAAAAGAGCTAGAATTTGAGGTGGGAGAAAAGTGTTTCTCAAGGTCGCCCCTATAAAAGGGATATTACGATTTGGGAAGAAAGGGAAGCTGAAACCATGATTTATCGACCCATTTGAGATCCTCAAGAAGGTTGAAAATGTAGCATATCGTTTGGCACTACTGCTTGAGCTATCGATAATACATGATGTATTTCATATTTCTTGTTGAGAAAGTACATCCCCGATCCAAGTCACGTGATTAATGCTCAATTGTTGGATGTACGGAGTAATATGACTTACGAAGAAGCACCTGTAATGGTTTTAGAAAGGAAGGAACACATTTTGTGAAATCGAGAAGTGCTATTAGTCAAAGTCCAATGGAGTAGACATGGGAAGGATGAGGCTACATGGGAGAGAGAAGCAGATGTTTTGGCTAAGTATCCAAACCTCCTTATCGAGTAAATTGAATTTCGAGGACGAAATTATTTTAATGGGGAATGATTGTAGCAACCTAAACTAAAATTTCATCTATTTCATGTTGACATGTTTCGTCAGTCGATATACTAAGGGACAAATTTAAAAATAAGTCTTTGTGTCAAAATTTTAATTTTCCATCTAGTAATCAAGTATTCTTCGAGCGAGAAATTTCATATTGATATTGGGCTTGTTTCGAAGCTCACATTAAATGATGAACTTTGTACTCAAGAAAAAGTCATTTCTGATAAGTTAGGCCCATGATATTGATGTTAAAAAAAAAAATAAAAAATAAATCCACATGTTTAATTAAAGTTAATTAAGGATTTAATTGTTACTTTTGTTGGAGCCACGTGTGTCAACTAATTTCATCTTCTAATTTTTCTATTTTATATTATTATTATTTTCTTGTGAGATTAGGACGATAAAGCAAAATTTGGATTAGTTTATGTTACCCCCATGTGAATTTTGGTGCAATTAAACATGTTAGATAGAGTCCTACATAGGATGAAGAAAAAAAAATTTGGATCAAACTAGTTCACGTGTAGGTCAATAAAGATTAGGATGCTATTTTATAGTAATTAAAGATAATTTATGTTAATTAGGTTGTTAAGGATGAATGGGAGTCCTAGTCCAATTAGACATCTAATTCAACCATAGACTTTAGTTGCCACATTCAATAGAATACTAGGATAAATTAGCACATATTCTCATACCATTCTTAAGCACTCATCAGTAAAGAAATTCAGGGAAAATTTTGATGCTCTCATGTTAGTCATTTTAATATCAAATATGAAGGAATTCGGTTCAACATAGGAGTTCCTCATCACCAAGAGCTAAGGTAGGATCCCTACACGAAGCTATCGTTACATGAATTAAATTTTCAAATAAGCATGTTATTCGTTATATTTGCCTGAAGTATAAAGTGTGTTTAGAGATTTCCCTTAAATTTTGATGAAAGAAAGGTTTATACATGTTTAAACTGATGGCCGCAGAGGCTCACCAAAATCTTAAGTATATATGTTAAATTGATGGTCGCAGAGGCTCATCAGAACTTTAGGTAGATCGTTTGATCATTGATTTACTTATTTATGAAGGCAACATGTAAGAATGTATGATTAAATGTATGAACATTAAGTTTATGTAGCACGTGTAGCCTGCTGAGTATATTTTTGACATGCTCACTCATATTTAACCATTTTCAGATTAATCGGAGATCCGGCGGCGGTTTGGCATGAATGGCATCTTTTATTTTTAGAGAAATTTATTTTATGTTTTAGATTTGCGACTTTTAGGTTTATTAGTTCGAGTTCATGTTTTGAGACAAACAGTTTTATTTTTTAAATGTTTGTTTGTGTTTCCAGTTTCTGCTTCCAAGTTTAAAAATTCATCCAGACCTAAATACTTGGAGTTTTGAGGTGATTCTAGCAGAAAAAGATAGCCATATGAGTTATCTATCCCTCGGATTTGAAATCATGAATTTTGGATCTATAAAACTCAAGTTATGAATATTTTCCTAAGAGCTGTCAGATTGTACCCGGGAACAGATATTCCCCAGTTTAGAAAGAATTTTGACCAATCTATTGATTGAATTTATCTACGAAATTTTAACTTGTAATTCCCCTATGTGTATAATGTCTACAGTTAAAATTTTGTAAATTTTTTACTTCATTTATATGTCAAATGAGATTTATTTTAGAAAGTCGTACAAGCTGAAGTCAAAACTTTCCGCACGAAAATTTTCTTAAATTTTGTAATAAGTTCTCTAGAGCCTTAATGTTTTTATTTCAAGTTAAGCTACTACATTTTATGAACCATTAGGGATAATTTTTATAAATTTAAAGTCTTTGTAATGTCATGAGTTCCCGGAGCTCAAAGCGTTACAAACTTCGGGCCGAGGAACAAAAGAATTGCTAGTGCTGGTTTCTGTCTTTCCAATTTCTACTTGCTGCATTATCATTTTGATTTACATAACTTAAAAGTTAACTGAAATCGTATATTAATGATAAAATCTTATGAGTAACCTTTTATTTACTAAATTCATAAAGTCAGTGACACGCACGACGCACGATTCACGCACGGACGAGGAGAATTTAAGAGAACTATAAAAATTTCCTTCTTGCTATTCAACAAATAAAAATAATAATTAGGTGTAGCTAAGATCAGGACGAAGGGTCTATGGTCAATAAATGACTCTAAAAATAAAATCTGTATACCCATAATATTAAATCTACAAAATATTTCAAAACTTTAGGTATGCTGTATACACAACTTTCAATAATTACGAATTAGCCACATTTGACTTGGAATTAGGAAGTATCCTTTACCGATTCTCGGAGAACAAGTATATTGAACCATCTCAAGTCATTAAAAAAATCTCCGTAAACAAATATAACAAATAACAAAGTTACCGCTAGAAGTATCTTGATTTAAAATTAGGTATTGGTTCCTTGGATAACATCAGGTTTTATTGCATCAGTACTTAAGCTAAGCTCATTAGTCTTTTTATTGAAGAATTGTCATCATCACCATAATCTCCAAGGGCTCTCTCTAAGCTCAATGAATAAACAACGATGACATGTATTGAGTAGTCTAAACATACAAGCAAAGGTGACAATCTATTTAGGGAATCATGTAAACATGAAAGATCATCAATCACAATAGTATAGATAGATAGAATATTGAATTGCCATTCTCTAATGTAATGCAACCATGGTGATTACGAAACTCAGTAAAAGTTGTATAGATTGATGCGGAATGGTGCAATCACACAATTGGGCAAGAAATAATATGACAAGTAAGATATCAATATATATAGGGCTAGCTTTGCTTTCTGCCATTACCTGGTACTCATGGAAGCATGCTTTCTGTTTCCATTGAATGGGCGGCATGGTTCCTTGTGATACAACTATTCCAAAGCCTATGCCACTTGCTTCTCATTCTTTTGCCCTCAAAAATGCTATGCCGAAACCAACAGCAATAACGTTGGGAGAGATGTTGTTGGCTTTCATGACGCAATAGGAGGATAATTGATCTACAAACATATGATTGATTAGAGATTCGGTTAAAGTGGATTAATGTGTTTGAACAGGGATCAAACAAAGAAGTATATCCCTTCTGGATGAACTTCGGGCCTAGGAACAAAATAATTGCTAGTGCTGGATTCTTTCATTCCAATTTCTGCTTTCTGCATTTTCATTTTGATGTATATACCTTAGAAGTTAACTGAAATCATATATTAATGATGGTTTATCTTATGAGTAACCTTTTATTTACTAAATTCATAAAGTCACGGACATGCACGACGCACGATTTATGCACGGACGAGAAGAATTTAAGAGAACTATAAAAATTTCCTTCTTGCTATTCAACAATAAAAATAATAATTAGATGCAGTTAAGATCAGAACGGAGGGTCTATGGTCAATAAATGACTCTAAAAACAAAGTCTATATACCCATAATATTAAATCGACAAAATATTTCAAAACTTTAGATATACAACATACACAACTTTCAGATAATTACGAATTTGCCACATTTGACGTGGGATCGGGAAGCATCCTAAACCAATTCTAAGAGAACAAGTATATTGAACCATCTCAAATCATTAAAGAAATCTCCTTAAACAGATAATAAAGCTACTGATAGAAGTATCTTGATCTAAATTGGGTACTGGTTCCTTGGGTAACATCAGGTTTTATTGCATCTGTACTTAAGCCAAGCTTATTTAGTCTTTTCACTAAAGAATTCTCATCATCACCGTAATCTCCAAGGGCTCTCTCTAAGCTCAATAGATAAAGAGCAATGACATGTATTGATTAGTCTCAACATACAAGCAAAGGTGATAAGTTCATTATATCTTTTATCTACTTAGGAAAACTTGTGAACTAGAAAGATCATCAATTAGTATAGATAGATAGAATATTG